TGAATTTCTACTTGACAACGTCCCAAGCGAGTCCGCCAGGATTTCCGATACAACAGCCTGACGGCTGGACCGAAGAGCGATCGCCGCCACCGCGCTAGCGTGAGCAGCTTACGCCTCCCGAGCATAGATTCAACCGAGGAACTGCCTCAACGCCGCCTTCCGCGCTCTTATAATCCGCCGGGGGCGGGGTTTGAATGACATCATGAACGACGGTTCATGACACTCCCCGCGCAAAAGAAGACAGTCTAGACGGACAGGCTTTATGGTGTTCTGCTTCCTCCTCGCGGAACGTTAAAATTGAATAGAAGATTGATCTTGAAGACGACCCTTTCTAGTGGAGTATTGAAGACGACTTTTAATGACTCTAATTATGAGGGTATTGGCACACATGAACTACATCCGAAGAAGAGACGATACATAATTTCCAACTCATATCAAAACGACGAAGTATCACTAGGAGTTCCTTCGATTGTCGTCCTATATCGTGTCGCAATCGTAGTGATCCACGGAGTCGTTGCCATCACCCGGAAGATGCTCGTGTTTCCCACTTTCACTTTATTATTATTGTGTTTTTGAGTTATGTTTGTTTTTGTTTTTTTTTTTTTGTTTTATTTTTATATTTTATTTTGATTCAAAACATTTTCCGGTTGCTTAAAAGAGTATTATGTCAAACGTGGCTTTTCTTGATTTATACAGCTGAGGAAAATGTTTTCATTAAATTCGATAAATTTGAATCGAAATCGATCACACCAAGTCGAACAATCGATCATAATCTACCAACAATACGAAATCGACCGATGAAACAAATCTACCAATGGTTAAGCAACTTGAGAGAATTGAAGAATTTGAAAACTTCGAATAATTTGAAATCAACTGACTGAGAAATTATTCCAATGGGAACTTGTGCGGGCAGAAGGCACTGTTGTGCTTAACCATTTCCTTTTCTCGTTTCGCAACTTTACAATAGTGGCATACCTTCTCCGTAGGACATGAAGTTGCGAGATGAGAAGCTCGCTTAAGACATCTTTCACAACGAAATCGTTCGGTTGCCCGACGACTTCTATCACGTAAAGTGAAGTACTGCTTACAATCAGCTGCGAAGTGGTCTGGGCTGTCGCAGAATCCACATTTATTTGACGACTGCTGTTGAGGTTGTTGACGGCTTGACCCTGGTTGTGGAGATGGTTCCCGACTCGGAACGTACCTTAACTCTTCGAGCATTGCGATCATTTGCTTTTGAAGTTTGAATATTTGTGTGAGGCCGTCCAGCGATTCTTCCAACATTTCCTTGAGAGTGAATGTCCGGCGCTCCACCAATCGGAGTTCACGCTAAAGAAATGTTATTTATTTGACAAGAAATTTTCAGACAATGATTGATTCGTGAGGTAGTACCTCCTCAGTTCTTCGAACTTTTATTGCTTTTCTTGGAATATTTGAAGGAACGTCACTTTTCGGCTTTTTTCTTTCCTTTTTGGGGAAATTCGTCCTCGTCTTAAAAATTTCCTTTACCAATAGTAAGAGAAAAATTGGTTGCAAAAAGTGGTCTACAGTTTTCGAAAGAATTTGAACTTTATTGAATTCAGAGGCTAAGATTAAGGTGATTAAGCCGAAGTTAACTGATCCCTTTGAATTTCAACTTTAGGTGTGAAGTAAAAGTAAAGTTAGAGCTGAAGATGTTCAATTTGATGATCAATTAGTTGAATATTGAATATTGAGTAATAGGGTACTTACATGTGTATTATCAACCTGCTGCCTCATCGGGCTGATGTCGTCCGTGCGTCCTAATATGCGTTGAATTTTCCTATGGATGAGCGGAATTTCTTCGTGGTCGTTGTTCAGTCGTGGTTCTCCTTGTTGAAGTTGTTGAACTTGAGGAGCTTCTTGAGGTTGTTGTTGCGGTTGCTCGTTGATTTCTGGCGTATCGTCCGGCTCCATAGGCACTTCGTCCGGCTGCTCATTAATGCCCTCATCATCGGCCATTTCTTAATTAGTATTAATTATTCCCTTGATAATGACGTTAAAATGTGCGAGGTTCATGCGACAATGCGTGTAATACCATCAAGAGTTTCTTGGAATCGAGGTGGGCGTTATAAGAAACTTTAAAGTACATTTAAGGGCTTCTCCCGTTACTATTCTCTCCGAACAAAGTTATCTTCGCAGGTCGAACTTAAAATTTGAGAAAATAAATGGGTTTGAATATCAAATGCGTCGGAGAATAGTGCGGAGTACCTTAAATGGCAGTGATATGAAGAAAAAGACAAAATGAGAGAATTTTTTGAAAAAGACGAGACCGACGAGCAGGACGCAGTTGAATGGAAGCACTGCAGGGAAGCTTGTTGACGCCTGTAGCGCCTGCCTTGGATTTTTTGTTCTGCTTGAGCATAGATGCGCAACGCTGATAGCGAGCAAGCATGAGAAGCTGATGAGAACCACTACCGTATACAAGTAGAATGTTTTGCATATTTCGAAAAAGTGAGCGACATCTGGGAAATCCCACTCGATCGTGAACGAATCCTCGTCTTTCGTATAGTTATTGGAGATTCTGGTATACTTCCATAATGGATTGATGCCATTTATGTAGTTCAAGGCTCCTTGAATTTCCACTAATGTTGATTGGGAACCGCACTTCGCTTGACACTGTTCTTTTACTCGAGCTTTATTGAAGAACAGTCTTATTTCGTTTTGAAACCCTTTTCTTGTACAAGTCAGTACGAATTGTCTTAGGCCGCATGTGACTTGTGCATGTGCTTGCTGTACGTCCGTTTTACAGTAGATTTTTGCTACAGCACCCTTGAAACAATTATAGCACCCAATGAAGGGCGCTGGGACGATATCGCAGCTAAATTCTGTAATACTTTGAGCCAGTTCTATTATTGATGGATCAATATGTATGGCTGTTTCAATGGAAACAGCGGACGTATGGATTATCGGGAGGTGTTTAGGCCCTGCCACTACCATTCCATTCGAAAGCGGTAAAGGTAGTGTGTGTGACAGTCGTCGTGTTTGAGTCAGAGTATTATGTGTGCAATAACAGGACACTGAGTCCTCTGCTGGATGGCACTTACACGTATCTTGTATGCTGCATGGGTTTGTTGAATTTGAAGTTGCAGGAATTGAGGTACAAGCGTAGCTAAACTTCGTGTCATCGTCCAGATACGCGGTTGTTTTGTTATTTGTTATGAACTGTTTGTATTGAATGAATATCGGTGAGAAAGAGAAAGACGTTACCTCTATTCTCGTTTTGCCCAGTAGTCCGTTGGTATAAGGTTTGATTTCTCCGGTGTAGATTCTGCTATTTTGACCTCTGTTAGCATATTCTACTTGAAATTTGATGGTCTCATACCACGAAGGGCATTTGAAAATCTCGTAGAAACTTTTATCTGTGGGTACATGGTAAACCCGATAAAATAGACAACCCGATGACGGAAAACCACACGAACAACCTAGTCCTCCGCACGATTCCGTGCAGTAAGTTATCCCAGTGAAGTTATTCGCGACATCGAGTTCCTGGACAAGTGAATCTGGTGAGATACCTGCGCATTTGAGGCCAACGCAAGACCCTTTGTGAGGGCATCGTTTGCTGTATTGAACTTGAGTTCGAGTATCTTGAGTGTAGTATAGCGTTTCTTTTTGGCACCTCAATATCAATTCCTGCATGGTAATTTTCAGAATATGCTTTTCAGAATCTTTATGCTTGGTTTGCAAACAGAGTTCTGATTGCATACTATTAAATTTCGCTATTACTGTAGTGAGGTTACGACATGTCTCACCTCTACATTGGGCAATGGTCGAGGGTATAAGCACCACTTGCTCACAACCATGAACGATGTTTTGACAAAGGGAGAAAATTGTCAAAAGACGTATAATTGTGGAGGTTTTCCACTTTCTATTTGTGTCATTATCTATTGCTATTAAGGGAATATCTTCTGTTGATGGCCTTCGTTGAACCTGTCTTTTTGAAAGATAGCGTTTCACTGAATTGAGTTTATTCCAAGCGTGTTGACAACCTCTGCACAGTCCCTTAATGGTGCGAAGTATGAGATACACCGTAATTAGGACTACGTAGAGTAGAGCAGTGGCTAGCATGATTGCTAACCGAGGCCAACACTCTGGATTCGTGATCATCGGTGAGCAGAATGTACAATCAATCTGCTCACAAAAGGGACTCGGTGAACAAGCCCAGTGAAACGCTTGCGTGGAATTTCCTAGTAAGGTTTTGACTAGTACGTGGTAAGAGTGTAGCGTAATTTCCGCAGGGAATTGAACTCTTATAGTTTGATCTGGATTCTCTATTTCTAGGCAATACTCATTACCACATACATGTATTTTATCTTGAACCTGCGGCATTTGAATTAGTACTCCTCCTCTTGTGCATTGAACTACGCGTTCTATGCTCTCCTTGTTTTCCTTCGATTGCGTGCTTGCGCAAAGGCTCGCTATCAATGCAAGCATGAGCCAACGATGCCACAATGTCATTGATCGATATGCCGTCAATTGCGTTCGCACGACGTTTACGCGATAGTTTACTTGTTCTTTTGCGTGGCGTGGCAACCACGGCCGCGTTCGTTTGGGCGCATCATTGTGCTGCTGAGTCATGACTCCACCAATGGCAGCGGTGTCGTCATTGGCGAATTCCTTCGGCATCTTCACCTCTGACTCATTCTGTAATGATTTTGATTCGTTATTTTCCTGTTGATGCAGGTTTCTTTCCTCTATTTCTAGCGGAATGAGTAAATTTATTGATCTTGTGATGTTGGATTTTGTTGTCTTTAATTCAACGGATCTAATTTCGCCGTCTTGATCTTCAATGAGCTTCGTTACTAAACCAAGAGGCCATTCTCCTCGCGGTTTACTTTCATCCATTACAAGAACAACTTCACCAATGTAGGGCTGCTTCCTTGTAAAGCTCTTTTGATTTATCCGGGTTTGATGGAAGTTCCGTAGTTCTAACAAGTAGTTGTCAGTCCAGAACTCCCACAACTTTTGCAAGTAACTTAGATGTTTCTGGAAGAGTTGAATTGTTTCTTCTCTCGTTGAATATTTCGCAAAATATTCGGCGTCTTGTTCCTCCTGATCAACCGACGGCAAAATGTTTACATTCGCATATGGTATGATGAAGTCGATAGGTCTAAGAATAACTGAGTCCTCAACTGTACTGCCGGAGTATGTGAGCGGTCTTGAGTTGACCATAGCTTCACATTCTGGTATTACAGTAATGAACTCATTTTCATGTATGGATTTCTTGCGTGTTATTCTTTTGAGTGTGGACTTCATTACTCCTATCATGCGCTCATAGAATCCCCCTTTCCAAGGAGATAATGGTGTAATGAATTTCCACTTGATTCCTTCGTTTGAAAGATAATTTTGAATCCCTTGGGTAGCAATTTCAGTCCGATCGCTTAATGTTTCAATAATTTCACGTCCCAATACAAAATTTGTCGCATTATCAGAAATTATGAGTTTTGGTTTACCTCTCCGCGCCACAAATCGCCGTAAACCATTTATAAATTCTGCTGCACTTAAATTATTGACAATTTCTAAATGTATGGCTCTTGTTACCATACATGTTGAGAGCAAAACCCACCTTTTTTGTTCACCATTTTCGTCGTTGATCACGCAAAATGGACCCGCGAGGTCGATGCCGACATGTAAAAACGGCCGTGATGGTTCTGTCCGTGCTTGCGGTAACGGTGGAGAGTTTGGATAGAAAAACGGTTTTGAATTCCATTTTTTGCAGATCAGGCACTTTCTTAAACATTTTTTGACTGTCTGTCGTCCCTTGGGAATCCAGTAATTCAACCTCAAATTTGCTAATGTTCCATTGATGCCTTGATGTCCACACCGATGGTGGGTGTCTCTAATGATTAAAGTGGTGAAGTTGTGATTTTCCGGTAGGAGGATGGGCTCTTGAGTTTCCTTCGCTAAATGTTTAGCTTGAATTCTTCCTCGACACCTCACAACTCCATTTTCGTCCGTGTATAATTGCAAGTTATTGAGTTTCGCGAGATATTCTGCCGACAACACTTTCTGTGCTTTTTTAATGAGTACTCTTTCGGTCATCGAAAGATCGATGGGTTCCATTAACGTCAGCGGCGTGTCGGCTGTTATGTGCTCGATTTCAGGTATGGCACTCTTTAATAGTGCTTTATTTTCGTTTGAGATTTTGTTGTATAGGACGTGTTTGAGGAACTTCAGAATCAGACATAGGATTCTCTTATACCTTTTAAATGACGAATATTCTTTTGTGAACAAATTGGACTTGGGATTTTTGTCAGATGTGTCAGTTGTCTTCGCCACGCATACTGTACGGGACGGTTGATTTGAATCTATTTCCTCTCCACTCCCTTCTACTTTCCACGAAAATTGTGGAAGTGTGGGCCATTTCGAATGGTCACTAAGTAGAAATGGGGGACCTGTCCACCACACGTGTTGAGCGAGTCGGTCCTTTGTCAAACCTTTTGTTGCGCAATCCACCGGGTTTATCTCGGATGGTATGTATTGCAGGTGGCATACAATACCCATGTTTGACCAATTCTCCATTTTGCTTCTAATTTCACTGCAACGGTTGTCGACGAAAACGCCGTTTTTAGTGTTTGATTGGACCCAGTGTAGAGCTACCTGCGAGTCACTTGAGATGTAAATTTCTTTAATAGGTAAGCGTATTTCTTGAAGTATGAAATTTGTTAAGCGGACGCCAATTAGAATTGCTAGGAGCTCCAATCGTGGTATTGTTGTTGTGTTTGTGTTCTTATTGATCGGAGCCAATCGCTGCCTTGCTACAAGCAAATGGCTACAGATCTTCCCGTTGACATCGATCGTACGTAGATAGGCCGCAGCCGCGAACGATCGTGTCGAAGCGTCTACGAACGTAAAAAGCTCATACCGACTGTTTGATGCAAAGTTTGTGGCTACGCGAGGGACTGACACGTCGAATCCCGTCGCATGTTCACAAATTGATCGCCATTCCTCATTAAGATCCTTAGGCAATGCTTCATCCCATTTGAAATCACGTTTCCATAGGTCTTGAAGAAAAAGCTTTGCGGGTAGTAGAAGGGGTATTAGAAAACCCAGCGGGTCAAAGGTTGAATGCGCCGCTTGTAACACTTTACGCTTCGTTACTGTTGGTGAATATTGAAGTTTACATTTGATTGAAAAGATATCCTTTTGAGTATTCCACGGAATCCCTAAAATTTTTGTTGATTTGCTGTTTGACAAATCAGATGGTGCTATCGATTTGTTGCAGGCATCATCGTTTGTAATGAATTGACGTAGGTTCATAGCCATGTTCTTGAACGCTTGCTTACACCACTGATATTTTTGAATGAGAGATTGTGTTGAGTCGTCTGTGAGGAGAACATTGTCCACATAAAGGTTATCGTGGAGTTGTCTTTTGAAGTCCTCGTCCAGATTTTGTTGTTCTATTCCGTATTTGATTGAGATTCCCAGCAAAAAGGGCGAAGCATTTATTCCAAACGGAAGTCTACAGAATCGTAGTATCCGTATATTATCGGGAGATGGCGGTTTTGTGGTATCTTGAAGCCACAAGAATCGAACTGCATCTCTTTCACTCTCTTGTAGGTGGATCATATGGAACGCCTTTTCGACATCCGCGATCATTATTTTGGAGCCGACTCGCGATCTAATGAGGACTCCGCATAGATTCGGTAATATGAGGGGTCCTTGATGGATTACATCATTGAGGCTTAGTTCACCTTTCATTTTAGAAGACGCATCAAGAACGATGCGCGTCTTTGTTGTGACACTTTCCGATTTGATAACTGCTTGATGTGGGATGTAATAGCATGGTGTTTCGCTCTTCGCTTGAGGTCGAGGTGCATCCTCGATGAAATTCTTTTTGAGTTGCTCTTGAATTATCTTGCAATATTCATCCCAACATTGAGGATTGCGCTCTTTCATTTTAAATAATTGATGAAGTCTACTTAAAGCAAGATTATAATTGCTGGCGAGGCGTTTTTTGTTCGCTTTCCAAGGGAACCGTACAAATATTTTACCATTGGTGATTTGAACTGTGGAGTAAAAGTCTGACACAATCTGGTTATTAATCTCTTCGTCCGTGGTCATGTCCTCGATACCAATTGTATTGAGTTTCCATAGAACTGTCATGTCCATGTGGTTCTTATTTGCATCGAGCACTGTGCATGAGTGAACGAGTCGACTGTTGAGATTGCCTATGTCAGGGCCTCGGAGTGTGTTGTTGTGAACACCTGATATAACCGGGCCGAAGAAAGTAGGTGTGAGGAAGAGTCCCGATGGGAGCTGAATTACTGATTCGTTTAATTTCATTATAGCATTGAAGTAGTCCATGCCAATAAGTATTTCTGGTGTTACTAAACCATCGGCTGTCTGTGAAAGATGTCGCAGGTGCAGTTCTCCGTCAGCGACATTTTCTTGGATGAAGGCGATGTCTTGAGGGAGCACTGAACCCATTTGAAGAGGAGGTGTGATTTTATCGTTTGTTAGGAGTTCAACCTTGATGGAATCTCCTTCCATATTATAGAGATGGGTGATTACTCGTTTCACCTTTCTCTTTTCTGCCCTTCCTCCGAAGGTGTTTACTACAACAGTGGTTTCGCTTTGGATTTTTAATTCCGTCCTCTGCGCGAGCGATGTTGAAATGAAAGATTGATCGGAGGCCGAATCGAGGATAGCGAACACCGTCACTTTGTCTTGGCTTTGTGAAGGTTGTAATTGAATTGGGACTATCATCAGACGTACACTATTGCTACTCGCGAAGGCGGTTATGAGTTCATCGTTATCACCTTGTTCTGATGTACTCTCTTGAACTTGTAAGTTGACTGTGACGTTCTCAAAGGATCGCTTCCGTGGCGGGGGAGATTGACTGAACCGGACTTGACGCTCTGTAGTTCTTGAAGGCGAAGGGGAATGTTTAGTTGAGGCTGTTTTGAGCAAAGCTCTCGATATAGGTCGTGGTGACGACCACTGAGGGGATCTCGGTGTTGATCGTCGTGGGGACTGGTCAGCATGATAAAGATTGGAGGCTCTATCCGGATAAAATGGTCTACTTGGTGAGTAACTTCTGCTTTTGAATAATCCATTTGGAGACTGTTTTCGGTATCTCGATTGGTTGAAATTTTGTTCACGATCTCTTTGAAATGATGATGTGTATTGTCGTCGAGGGAAATTGGCGTACCTGTTGTATTGAGGTTGTTGATTTAGACGACAAAGGGTGAGATTATGGGGACCTCCGCACTGAATACAATTCTGCTTACGACAGAATTGTGTTTGGTGTTTAACGCTGAAACACTTCCAACAGGCGTTCAGTTCGCGTAGTCGCCCTATCTTCTGTATTACGCTTGAGTACTTATCACAGTATTGAAACTTATGTGGTTGGCCGCAACCCGTGCAGCGCACTCTAGGTGCCACCGTTGTTCTAGTATGGAAAATTGAGCGTTCGCTTTGATGAATTTCTCTTATACTTTCAACGTGTTCCTTACGCTTTATTGCTATGGTCAGATTCTCAACGAGATCTGTCATGCTCCATAGGTTCCCTGAGTCAAATTCCTTCCTCGCCATTTCGTCTTGAACATTTTTGGAGAACGTTTCAAGTACCATAGTTCTCATGTTTATTGTGTCCACGACTTCTCCTTGCCTCTCCAGTGTGGCTATGATAGCTTGAATGTCGTTGAGGTTGTTTCTTAAGGATCGGTGATCATCTTGGCACTGCTTCATTGATTTGAGCTTTCGTATCATCTGCATTGTCACCCTCCTTGGATCTTGGTATTGATTTTTCAGTTGGTTGATTGCTCTCTCGTAGGATTCCCCTGTTCTTGGTATCATTTGGAGGGTTCTTGCTGCGTCCCCTTTGCAGCAATTGATGAGAATTGAGAGCTTTTCTATGTTTGAATAAGGTTGATGGTGAACGAGTTCCTCGAACATTTCCCAGAATGAATCAAACTCTGAGGGATTGCCATAAAAGTTTGGCACTTTGAGTTCATTTCCCATGAGCCTTCTTTCAAGTGTCCATGTGCTTGACTGAGGGTGTTGTTGAGGGATTTGTGAATTATGGTTCGAGCCCCTTTGATCTCCCTCTCCTATAAGTTCCTGTTTCAAACTCACCTCTTGACATTGAAGCTCTATTAATCTCTTTTCTAATTGACGTTCCAGTTGCTCAGCATGATGCAGTAGGTCCTCACCTTGCTTTTCAGACCAGTATTCATCGAACTGGTTTTCTATTTCTACTTTAAGTTCTTGAGCAAGATCGTGGATTGTGCTATTGCACTCGGTATAGTATGCCACGATGTCTTCTCTGCGTTGTTGCATTTTTGATATTAAGTTTTTGATGATCATGGTTTTTGAGATTAAGAAGACTTCTAACTCCTGCGCTTGAGTCGGAAAAGTCCATGGTGCCTCAAACGCGTTCGCTTCTTGCATTAGGCTTATTAGAACATTGAGTTGTCTACTTAATCTCTGCTTAGCAGTCTTCAAGATGAATGGCTGCTGTGACATTCCGAAGCTGGATTGTGGTGCACTGAGTCTCTTGGCGCGCTGTGCGTGTGACTGTCGACGAAGACTGTCAGAACGAGGAGGAATGCCTGGCTTCGGTTATATATGCGGGATTGTTCTTATCTTTTCTACATCGAATAAAATTCCTTTTGTTGTTGTGTATTTTGTTTTGAGATCGTGTTCAGTCTTCAGCAGCAAGGATTGAATGTTGTGAGAAACTTCAACAGCTGAGGTTGGATGTTTTGAGAGGATGTGATCTTGACGCTTTTGTTTTGGAATCCCCAGAAGCCTCTTTTTTTTTTTGTTTTGAGAAGATGTCCATTGATTTCATCTTCATGATTTTCTAGAAAACGGTAATTTTGTAGTCATCTTCCTGTACTTTCAGAAATATATATTTTTGAGGTTACAAAAATTACTCCGTTCTCTTACTAATCTCCAGCTTAGCGCAAGATGAAATTGAAAGGGAGCTTTATGGCGTAAAAGCTGTTTCGGTTTAGGTTGAAGGAAAAATAGTACGATTATAGAACTCACTTTCTTTTGTTGTTAGAACAGATGACAGGGTAGGAAGTTGATGAATTCGCTTGATATTCCATTCGTTGAAATTCTTGAATCGATATCTTTCCAAATATTAGTGAGCTTACCTCACAAACTGTATCGCACTAGCTAACAAGCAAAATAGTACAAACTGGTAACGACGTATTTTCATAATCGTTATAAAGAAAGGGCAAAACATACAAAATACAATATATACAAAGAACACAGGCCGGCTAAAAATAAACTGTAAGGTACCTTATTCTAGGCCAGACTATCGGACTGCCACCGGGATTTCTTTCGAGTTACCTTCTCATCGTGACTCTTATTTCCGCGGTAAAATATAGTCGACTTGAATGCTTGAAATTAGTGAAGAGTCGAGGAAAGGTAAAAATAATGAGATCGCGAAATTTTAAGCCTCACGTGCGAGGATACTTGTCAAGATACGCTCTTTGGGCCCTAAAAGCGCACCTTATGAAATATTGTGCACGTGCGTCAAAATCTTCGCTTCTGAAGTTCTAGAGACTCTCTTTGCTCCGATTGTTTACTTGAACAGATTTGCTGTCCATAGATACTTGATTCGAGCGAAGAATCGGGCTTTTACAGAGATCATCTCTTTTTATATAAGGAGTGTTGAGTATTGAAGTGATTAAATAATGCTCTTCACGGGAGCTTGATAGGTTTGGCCGATGCACCATGTTTTGGGGCATCACTCCCAAATGTAAGTTAGGTGGTTCTCTGGAA